TCTGGTGGAGGGGGGTGGGACTGGGGTGGGTGCCTTCCTTCCCTCCCTCTCTCCCATTGGTCCTTCCTTCTTTCCTTCCTTCCCTCCCTCTTTGTCCCTTCCCCCTTCCCTCCCTTCCATTGTCCATCCCTCCCTCCCTCAGGTTGCATGATGCCTGTGGGGGGGGGAATCCATGGGTCTCTGGTGGAGGGGGGTGGGACTGGGGTGGGTGCCTTCCCTCCCTCTCTCCCATTGTCCCTTCCTTCCTCCCCTCTTTGTCCCTTCCTCCTTCCCTCCCTCCCTTCCATTGTCCTTCCCTCCCTCCCTCAGTTTTAATTTCTTCGTTGGTGGTTCCTTTGCTGTATCACTTTCCTTTTGCGGTCGCGCTCGGTGCAGCCGGGAGCCCAGCACAGCTGCCGTTCTTCTGCAGGGAGGGGAGCACAGGCAGCAGAGGAGCGCACGGGGGCGGGGAAAGAGCCACGGCTCTTGAATCTGGCTTTGATCCCGCTTCCCCTTCGCTCCGGCTGGGTCCGTGAATGCCAGATTCAAGAAGACGGAGGAAGGCTCACATGTCTCCACCCCAAAACCCCCAGCCAGCCTGCTGGCCTTTCGAACCACCCTGGGGTTAGATCTGGCATTCACGGACCCGGCCGGAGCGAAGGGGAAGTGGGATCAAAGCCCTTCTTTTGGCCACAAAGAATGTAGCCAGGTGGGATTTGCCTGGGGGTTGTGCCGGCTCTTCCTCAGGGCTGGCTGCAGCAATGAATGAGCCGCTTCCCCGCTCACTGCTTTTCTCCGGCTGCGGCCGTGCGCAACGCACCAGAGGGAGTCCGGCAGCCGCGGCTCTTTCCCCACTCCCGTGGGCTCCTCCACTGCCTGCGCTCTCCTCCCCCTGCAGCCAAGGAGAAGCAGCAGGCAGGAACCGCAGCAGCCGACGTCGCGCAGCCATCTGGCTCAGCAACAGCGGCGGTGGCCAAACTCCAATTGCCTCCACCGGGCTCTTTTATGCCCTCCTCGCTCCGGTCCGGTGAAGGTCGGTCAGGACCCCTGCAAGCGAGCGAGATGGGCAGGGGCACGAATCGGTGTGTGCTTAGAAACGCCGATCTCGTGCTCCTGCCCATCTCACTCGCTTGCTTTCCACTTGCTTTCTGCAAGCGAGATGGGCAGGAGCTCCTGGGCCCCCCGCGCCTGCCGTTAACCCTCCCGCCACCATGCAGGGTAAGGTTGGCGCCCCCACCCAGATGTCCCCGCCTCCCCCAAGCATTTTTTACTCACCTGCTTTCAGCTGCACTCCCTTTCTCCTTTTGCTTCTCTGCCTTTGCCACGTGTTTGTGGGTAAAAAAGAAAAAAAGTTCCATGAGACTTTCTAACTTCTCGCAAGAAGTTAGAAAGTCTCATGGAACTTTTTTTTTTGTCTCACAAACACATGACGACTGAGAAGGACAGGAGAAAGGGAATGCTGCTGAAAGCAGGTGAGTAAAAAAACGTTTGGGGGAGGTGAGGGCATCTGGGTGGGGGCGGGGGGGGACCCAGGAAATGTGTCATGCAGCTCCAGCGGAATCTCCACCTGAAGACTGCATGAGGCTGCCTGCTACCCCCAAGGTCACTGCCAATCAGCTGGAGCTGCGCGCTTTGATCCTGGGCTCTCAGTAGGACCCAGGCAACGTGCAGTTCCAGCTGACTTTGCCACAAGCCTGTGTGGCGCTGCTGCCGCTTCACCTCATCCACTTTTACACTTTTTTAAACTTTTTTTTAACATTTTTTTACATTTTTTTTCAACCCGTCCTACGCGTACCACCAGCCAGGTGCTCGCGTACCACTGGTGGTACGTGTACCACCGGTTGAAAAGCCCTGCTCTAAAGCACCTGAAGGCAGGACAAGAAGCAATGGCTGAAAACTAATCAAGGAGGGAAGCAACCTAGAACTAAGGAGAAATTTCTTGACAGTTAGAATAATTAATCAATGGAATGATTTGCCTTCAGAAGTTGTGCATGCTCCAACACTGGAGGTTTTTAAGAAGAAATTGGAGAACTATTTGTCTGAAATGGTACAGGGTTTCCACCTGAGCAGAGAGTTGGACTAGAAGACCTCCAAGG